TCTTTTCCCCTACCTAGATAAATGTAATTGGCCCGATGAGAATTTATCGGAAGTATACGTATGCTCGCCACCTACTCTTCTGGTGATGAATAATCGAAAACGAAACTTCGCCAAACGGGAATTCTAGAATACAGTTCCACTACCCAAGTCTTTGACAAAGTAAACAGGCACAAAACAATTTTCATTTAATTTGTATAAAATATCACATTCGGTTCGTCCAGTGTTAAAAAATTATCGAGTAAATAAATGCTCGCTTCGCGATCTAAATGTATAGAAATTTTGGGCATATGATTAAACCGCTTTCTTCGTCGCCTGATCACGGCAACCGGGTTTTATGATTTGTCCGAAGTGATGCGGAGAATAATTAGGGAACTGGTAATAGGAAACGCTAGACTTCTGAAACCACAGGAGGTCAAATAGCTGAGGGCAGATGACAGGTAGGTCGAGTGTGTCAAGACGCAGGTATTCCTTCAAGACAGGCGTCTCATGAGCCTGCGTTCGATTAGCCACTATCACGTGACTGTCATTACACTTCACAACTACCCAAAGGAGCGTAGGGATCTGCTGAGCAATGGCCAGGACTTCCCTGGCAAACACCTCACCTCCTGAACAAAGTTCCAAATGCAGATAACGCAGGGTCTTGGAATGAAAGGCACGCGTCCAGGAGCGAATTTCACCACCTATTGGTATTTGCCCGAGAATAAGACTCAAGGTCACCAAATGCTTGCTCGTAGAAAGAATACTCAGCAAGGCTTCCTGGAAGTCGTTCAGGTGAATTGGCACTCTGTGCAGGTAAAGAATTTGCAGGCGGGGACACTGAGCAATGGCTAGACGCAGGTCGGCTGCGTCCAAACCGAACATAAAACTGACACGTAATCGCTCCAGACGTGGAAACAGGCCACAAATATAACGCAGGGATGCCCAGAGTTGACTGCCCTCGGGGAGAGTCACGGCGTAAATTGTGCCCACAATGTGCAGGCAGCGCACACTGGGGTAAGCATCTCTAGACTGGGCGCATATTTGTTGTAGAACTGGGTCCACTGAGCAGGCCGCTAATATTTGATGATTCATTGCAACAAACTCCAAATTATGCCCAGCCAGCCAGAGGAGAGAGGTTAATTTTTCTCGGCAGACAAGAGCCATTTTCTGACAGTGACTAATAAAATCCCTAGCTTGGCCCATTGTGTCTGCAAATCGGGAGCACAGACCCAAACAGCACACCCGATTGGGCGACTGGGCCAACTCTACCTCGATGGGGGTCACGGCAACCCCGGCAGGAGGACATTTCGTCACGGCGTCCGCATTCATGAAGACGGACAAGTTGCTCAACTTGCCTCCATAGAAGGCGAATTTGTCCGTTTCTACGGCAACCACTGGAAATATAATAGGCTTATCGGGCGTATGACCTCTTTTGGCTCGTGTTGATACGCCCTCATCACACAGATAGATGGTGTATTCAGACAGGGCTGCCAACCTGGTGCCTATTCGCCGATGGCTTCGACTCCAACAGAAGACATCTAACATGACTTCCTTCAGACAGGGCATCATTTGATGTCTTTCTGCGCGTGACATGCTTAACAGCTGGGTCTGAAAACTAGCCTCGTCTGTCAGTCGAAGGAGCGTCA